CGCTTCTCTGTGTGGGAAGCCTGGCCTATGGCCAGCGTGCGGCCTTGTGCCTTCCAGTGAGAAGGTTGCAGGTGCAAGGTAGTAGTGCTGTGTGAGAAGTGAAGGTGGGGCCTGGCTCTGGGTGGCCTGAGTCCATCTCAGGTGGTGGAAGTATCACTAGTGTTGGAGGACTGAGGGTGGTGAGCAGGGATGAGCTTGGGGATCAGTGTGTTCATTCTGTAATGCTTCAGAAATGAAAAAAACAGAAGAAAAAGAACTGTGTTTGCACCAGGTTGAGAAGATTTTGGTAAATCTTGGCTTGAGACTGAGCACAGGCAGGCTAGAGTTGACAGTGGAGGAGGAGGAGGAGGAGGTCTTTGCAGGAACAGAAGGAAAAGGGGGCAGGAGCCATGATGACTAAATTGTGAGTATCTTTTGGGCCTTGCTGAGGTGCTAGACTTCGTCTCCTGGCCCGCGGAGAGCCAGCGAAGGCTGTCAAGGACTGCATGGGCACAGCAGTATGAGAAGGGGCCAAGAGGGGCCACGGCTGTGGCTGCCATCCGGTCTGCGGGGTCAGTGAGAGGAGAGGGATTGGGTGAGAGAGATGGCGAGTGCAAAGGGAGAGACATGATCCATGGCATGCACACATCCAGGCATACCCCACACGTGTACGCCATCCGGGCACACCACACGAAGGCACACGTCCTTTCAGTCTGCTCAGGCTGCTATAACAAAATGCCTGGACAGGGTGGCTTCCACCAATAGACTTTCACTGCTCAAAGTTCTGGAGGCCGGAAGTTCACCATCACACTCTTGGCAGAGTTGGTGAGGGCATGAGGCTCGTTGTGCCTTCTGTGTGCTGTCATGTGGGGAGAAAGGACAGGTCTCTGAGGTCCCTCTCATAAGGACACAAGTCTCTTCACAAGGCTGTCCCTCTGTGACTTAATCACCTCCCAAAGCCCCGCCTCCTCAGCTGCACTTTGAGGTTAGGATTCTGCGTGAATTTGGGGGATACAAACTTGGAGACTGCAGACACAGGCACACACACATGGTAGTGCCTCTCCCAATGGTACAGGGGCAGTGGAGTCTACAGAAGGTGGAGACTGACAGGAGCACTCATACTTAGGGTAACCTTGTTGTTGTCAACACACAGAGGTGGTGGTCTTTGTGTCACCTTGTACGGGGCAAGTGTGAATGTTTCAAGTACCATAGGATTGATTGCAAGAGATTTGAAAGAACAGCTCTGTTTGGGGTGAGGGCTGTGGCCCCATCCGGAGCTCCTGGGACAGCAGGTGTAGGCTGCCCCTTCCAGCACAGGAACCTTGGCTTTGGCAGTGGCTTGGGGAAGCCAGCGCCTGGCTCCCTTCTCAGGTAGTGAATGCCTGCCAAGGCGCATTCTCTCTGGAGAAGAGCTGCTGGTGGCATCTATGGCCCCCAGGTATTAAATCCATTGCCAGAATGGGGCTCAGCTTCCTGGATGTAAATCTTTAGGTGAAGGCTGTGTGTGACCTCCTCTCACTCAGGTTCTCATACTGGCACAGCTGTTGTAATCCAGGTTTGTCCATTATTCTTTGGTTTTAAAAAATAACCTAAGGGACAGAGGACCTTCTGGTCTTTGTGCAGTGTGTGGATGGCCGCCTGTTGTGCTGGGTCCCTGCCTTGGTGTGATCTCTGCTGTGACTCCTGGAGACAGTACCACCAGTGCAGTGAGCACCTGTGCAGGTCCTGCGCTGCAGTACCCAGGCCTGTAGCTAAGGGCCTTCTGCTGGGAAGAGCCCAGCATTTGGAGCCCTCCAGGGAGACAGAGGGCCTGGGGCCCAGGGCTCATGGCACTGTCAGGCTGTGGCCATCCTGTTTTTTCTTCCAACCCAGCTCATCAGGAGTGGGAGCTGCAGGAGACCTGCTAGTCTGCACCCGAGCTGCTGACTCACTGTCTCCCTCACACCCTGGTGCAAAGCCTCTGTTCTCCTCCCCTGCCTCCTCCTCCAGCTGCAGGGGTGGCCACAGGCAGCAGAAGTGGGGTGGGTGGGGGCTCGGGTGTGCACTCTCTCTCTCTCTGTCTCTCTCTCTCTCTGTCTCTCTCTCTCTCTGTCTCTCTCTCTCTCACCTGCACTTGACAAGACACTTATTTTTATATACTGTCGGCTGGAAATAAGCAACTTTATTTAAAGAGAATGTGGATTCAGAGTGCTAAAAAAAGCACCCAGCAACTTGCTAGGGCTGTTTTAGGAGTGATTCTCCTGCCTGCTTTGGAAGGAGGCTGTAGGGCCCATGCAAGGGGAGTTGAGGACGCAGTGGGAGTTGAGGACAGGTGAGACCCATGTGACTAGACTCCCATCTGGATCATACAGCACATGGGATCAGTCTGCTGGACACTGCGTAGGCTGGGCAGGGTCCTTGGCCCTGGAGGAGTGCAGCCCTCGCGGGACATGGACTGTGCTGATCTGTGGTCCAAGATCCTTTGCCCAGGACAGGGGCTCTTGTCTTGAAAGAGCTATCTCAGTCCCATCTTTTAGGAATCTTCCTGTCTATTCCCTGATCTCTGTCAAGGGCTGGGGCCATGCTGGTCTTTAGTTTGTGTGTGTGTGTATTTTATTGATGCTTTTATAATTCTAATTATTCCTACCTGGTGACAGGTCATTGGAAGGAGTCTCTCTCCCCCATCCCCCAGCAGTGGCAGTTGCTGCTCCTGCCCTGTTCTCCTTTTGTTATGTTTTCAGGCATTGGCGCCACTTGAGATATGAGCTTAATATTGCCATTGGAGCACATGTGGGTGGGTCCTGTGATGCCTGGTGGCTGAATGTGTCCTCCACCTGTGTGTCACCCCTCCACAGCTGGCTTTAGGACATTACAGGGGTCATACTGGCCCTTGGGAGCCCCTGAAAGCATCACTGTCTCCTGTCAACACTTTTTGTTTTTTTGAGACAGGGTCTCGCTATGTAGTTGGAACTCACTATGTAGCCCACGCTGGTCTCGAACTCACAGCGATCCTCCTGCCTCAGCTTCCTGAGTGCTGGGATTACAGGCGTGCACCACCATGCCCGGCTCATCCTGTCAACACTTTAAAAACAAGTACTATCTTCCTCTTGGTTGTTAAAATGTCCACGTGTTATAGGGAATTTGGCTATACCTACAGATACACAGGAGAAGGTCATATTCCTTGTTACCTTGCTGCTAGAAGTATCAGAAATTTAGCCTGCTTCCTTCCAGCCTCTTTTATATGTACTGTATAGGTGTGTGTATGTATTTCTTCCTTTTAGAAGCAGAGGCTGTAACACACATGAAAGTTATATATCCTGTATTTATGTTTAATGGGATGTTGAAAGCTTTTTCCACACCACTATGCACTCCTTGAAAATATTTTTATCAGTTGCATACAGGTGTTCTTTCCTTTACTGCTGGCACCCTTCCCTGCTTTCTCGTGTCATCACGGCATATGTCCTCAGTGCCTCTTGGACCCCATGTGTCATCTACATGCTTCGCAGTGGCACCCTGTGGACAGTTTCTGGCTGGCAACCATTCTGATTGGCCAGTGCCTGGTCCTGCCAGTGTCCAGTGCTGAATTTTGAATCTCACCTCTGATTGAATATAATTTCCTTAGCCCTGGGTTTGACTGTGCTGCTACAACAAAGTGCCACAGAATGGTGACTTAAACAAGGGGCATCAATTGTGTCATTGTTTTGAAGTGAGAGGTGAGATCAGGTGCTGGCCGGCCCTCCCTCCTGACAGCTCTAGAGAGGGATCCTTTCTGCCTCTTCCACCTTTGGGTGTCTGGTTTTCACATGACCTTCTTTACATTGTCTTCACTGGGAATGTCCGTCTCCATGTCCAAAGTTTTCCCCCTTTATAGCCACTAGCTGGAGTGGGGTAGGGCACAGCCTAATGACCTCATTGTAACTGGATCACTTCTGTAAAGACCTTATTTCCAAGGAAGGTCACATTTTGTCCCAGGGGTTAAGACACCAACATATCATTGAAGGACTCAATTCAGCCCTTCAGAACCACCTGTTACCCAGCCCAGAGAACTTGGACCATGCTGGAGGCCCAGCCACTCACAGTAGATAAATACAGTCTTTTGTCTCAAGACTATCCCACCCTTGCCTTAGGCCTGTGTTGGCACAGATTTAGACAGATGAAGCTTTGTGCTCTTCCCAGTGAGTAGATGAAGCGCACATGCCGTTTGCAAGGCTCCCTTCCTGCTGGGTCGTGTCTCCTGGTCTCTGGGCAGAACCCACTGCAGAATGTTCCATGTGTGGCTGCCTTCTCCATGATGAGGCTTTTATCTATGATTTAGATCCTGACCTCACATAGTATACTTGAGTCTATACTCAATTTTAAGAAGTTTTACATGGTTAAGTTTTATGCTAACTGTTGTGCTTTTTTTCCAGCATTATTGTCATGGCTAGACCTGTCTGTATGTGTGTTGCCTCTGTGATGGATGTGTCCACTAGAATTCAGGTGATCAGGCTCTTGGGTCCTTTCTTGTGGGCCCATCATTACTAATGATGCAGTCCTTTGGCTTTGAATTACATCCTTGGAGAAAATAGAGGCTCGGCGTTAGATTAGGATTGAAGTTAAGCAGCTGCAGGATGAAGTTGTTTTGCCTTCTTAAAGAAAGGTTGGCCCTACCAAGGCAGTTTGTAAGAAACTGAGTGCCTGTGAGCCCAGGGTTTTATTAGCATGCACATCTGGCTGATTCTCAGGCCTGGACTGAGCACTGTGGCACCTGGCAGATCTGGGCTGGGCTTTGATAATGGTCACAGATGCTTTTCCTGAGCTTGAGGGTTCTACTTGTAGGTTCTCTTCTCTGCACCTTTTCCCTACTTCTGGGATGTCCTGGAGACTGAATAGGAGGGTCAGAAAGGGTAACACTAGATGAGGGGATTTACAGACGCATAAGCAGGCAAACTTGGAATGAAGCTTGAGTCAGTCACTCTTGGGGATGCAGGGCTCAGGGGCACATGCTAGCTGCCCATGGGTCCTCTGCCTGGCTGCATCTCACCTTTGCTGTTCTTTCTCAGGGTTCAGGAGCAGTTCCAGAGAAACCCCGACAGTTACAACGGTGCTGTCCGTGAGAACTACACCTGGTCACAGGACTACACCGACTTGGAGGTCAGGGTGCCAGTGCCCAAGCATGTGGTGAAGGGGAAGCAGGTAAAAGCCCTGGTGTGGTGGAGGTGGGTGTGGAGTTTGCTCAGTCAGTTGGACCTATCTCAGGAGGGATGCGGCATTACTAGGGTGGATTGGGATTGGCCTCAGGAGGTAAGGCCGGGTCCTGCTCCTGCCTCAGCGGGGGTCACTTGCACTTGCACATCCCCTGCCACCAGACCCATGAGCTTCTTTCAGCTGGTCTGCAGGCTTCTCTTCCTTGTGAGCAGCATCAGCCCCCGAGAGAGGCCCACATATTTGATGTCCTTGTCTCCCACTAAACAGAGTCATAGTAGACGCTGTCAGGACCCTGGTATAGATGGCCAGCCTCTTGGTTTCAAGGGAAGACTCCAACGTTGCCTTGGTGGAGTCCACAGTTCCCTAGAGATGGAGTCTGCCTGCAGCCTCCCAGCAGAAGCCAGGTCACAGAGGCTTTCACACAGCCATTGTCCCTTGAGTTTCCTGGCCTTGCCAGCTAGGGCCCAGCAAACTCATGTTAGACAAAGTGACAGGTGGGTGGCATCCCCTGTATATGGCAAACTAAGTGTTGTGGAGATAAAGGATTTGCGACCTACTCAGAGGGCAGGAGGGAAGAGCGTGGGTGCCACAGACACCGTGGTCCCCAGGGTCCCACCCACCCAGCACCCTCATCTGCTCTCCTTGCTGTCTGTTCTCTTTCTCCTGCTCTGATTTTGCTGGTTTCACACAGGTGAGACATGTACTGAGGGCATACTTCCCTGTCCTGAAGCCTCCCTTCTGCATTTGGCTCAGGGTCCTTTGAGAGAATCCTCTCCCTGCCATATCGATGCCTGGTGTCACTCAGTGCTCCTCATCATGGTGTGTGGAGCGCTGGTCCTGCTTCCTTCCTCGGCACCACTTTCTTCCCTTAGTGACAAACACAGAACTACTGCTTCCTCTTCATCTATGAGTACCCAGGAGCCCTGACTTAAACCAGGTGTGGTCACGGGCGAGACTGCAGTGCTGATCGACCCTGAGGCCGAAGGAGAAGCCCAGGGTCACTAGACCAGGTGCTGTTCCCTGTGGCTCTGCCATGGGGCAAGAGCTGGCTTCTGAAACTTCATCTAGTAGCTTCAGTGAGTAGGTTTACTCTTCCAAGAGGAGAGCTGTTTACTTGGGGAGCCTTGGTGGCCGTGGCATTGTCATCAGTTGTTGCAAATAGGAAGGCTCCACTCAGAGCCTCAGGCAGCAGAGCCAGAATAAGATGTGTTTCATCTCAGTCTTCATCAGAACCTGCGACCTGCAAAATAACTTGTTTCACAGATGAGGAGTGGAGGTGGAGAGAAGGAGTTACATTATCCAGTGTCAGCCTGGATAGGGCACTGGACACCTGTCTGAGGGAACAAAGTGCTAGAGTGTGGTAGCCAGGTATGCACCTCTGAGCTCATGCTTGTCTCATGGGGCCACACTTGAGACTGCCCATGTGCATTTCAGACAGCGAGGCACCCACCTCAACGTGTTGATGATTAGACAGCAGGCGAGGTCCACTGCAGCCTGGGCCAGACAGGTGCCAAGTCCAGGCTGGCTTTGAGGAGTGCCTGGCCCTCCTGCTTCATGTGTAGGGTCTGAGTAGGGACTGTAGCAGGTACAGGGTCGGATGAGTGCAGCTCCTTCCAGGAGACAGAAACAGAACATGTTTATGTGCTGATAGTGGAGCAAAGATGGAACCCTCAGCCTTTAAGGTACCACAGCCACCAATTGGTGAGTTGTGAGTGGCCTGGCATTGGTAGGAAGCAGCCATATGCAGAATTCTTCTTCTGTCCACCCCCATGATAGTGTATCTCGTACCAGCTCCCAGTGCCCCTGGGAATCAGAATTTAGTGTACCTCTGGGACCCGAGTCAGGAGAGTGTGGAGTCACCTGCATGGAGTCTCAGCTTTGAGAGGCTGTTCTTTGTCTGTTTTGGGTAGATCAGGAGTGGTACTGGCTGCCCTTCTTGAGTTGTTTACCCAGCTTCTTAGGATGTTAGTGGGTCAGGTGTTGATTTCCATGTCATTGTCTGGTAGGATTGTCAATCAGTTATGAATTCTGAAAAGTGTTGATTACTGTGCTCATTCACTTGGCCAAAAATATTAGATATTTGGGCCTTTATCTGATTTCTAACATGCTCCATGCATGGCTGAGTCTTTCTCCCAAAGGACTTATTGTGAAACCAGCCTAGAACTAGCCGTTCTCTGTGTCTGGGGTGGCCAGCCACCTTTGCCATTCCTTCCACAGCTAACAGGACAACCACACTAGACTGGCGTTGGGTCTCAGATGTGCTGCCCACTAACTGGAGTTGAAACCATAGCTCTGCTCTGTGGGTACCGTGTTGAGGAAGCCCCACACTGTGCATCTCACAGAGTGACAAGCTGTCTTGTGTCATGCCTGTTAGAGTCACAGGACAATGTGGTCCTGCTTTCACCAAGTACAACCCTGGGTCTGACTTGCTCTGCAGTCGGTGTTTCCTGAGCACATGGCCCATGTGGTGGCCACCAAGTCAGACTAGGTTGCTGGCCCAGAATCTACAAGGGGTTATCAAAACATAGATGTTTAAATTTTAAAAATGTATCACAGTAAAAGATGCATTGTCATTAATCCCCCTCACTTATTCCATCATTTTTCGAATTTCTGAAGCAGTTCTGGAATTTTCTTTCCTATCTTTACAAGGTGGGATCAAAGTATGGTGAATAGGTAGGTTCCTAAAAACATTACAGTACTGAATTCACTGAATCTGGCTCTGTGTGGCTTCTGGTTCTTCCTCAAAGTCAAAATGACTACAAAAAGGAAATGTTTCAAATTGATTCAGGACATCAAGGCCACTATACCAGAATAACTAAAGAGGACTTCCAGAACTGCTTCAGAAAGTGGCAGGAATCGTGGGATAAGTATGTTCAAACCAGGGGTTTGCTGCCTGGCAAGCATAGGCCCTGAGTTTAATTCCTGCTACCGAAAAAAGAAAAAGGAAAAAGAAAAGGGATATAGTTTGAGGGGGATTAATAGCAATGTGTCTTTACTATAATAGTTTTTTAAAAATTTAAACATTCACTATATATTTAGAACATACCTTATATATCCATTTATTGCACAGGCAATAAGAGTTGGTAAATAATGAACAAGGTGATTGCAGGAAGGGACAGCAGTGAAGAACATAACATGGTGGTTTGTGTGTATGTCCAGTGCTGAGGGGGTCCGTCTCAGTGACCCTCCCCTGTTGTCCGGCCCACTACTGGGCCTGTGCATTTGGGACTGGCAATCAGCACGTTCACGTCACAGGCAACAGGAGCCAGCATCCCTTGCACCTAGAGGGCTTGGAGCACTTAACAGTGACATCGCAGGGTGGGCAGGAGGAAGGGGCTTCCTGTGGCTGTTGGCTAGTTTAGCATGGGGATTTTTGTGGCACTCCCTGGCATAACTTACCTCGGTGACCTGCTTGTGAAAACCTTTATCTTCTTTGTGGTGGGGTGTTTTCTTTTTCTTCTTTATTGGCATCTATTCCCACATATCATTCTTATACCATCATAAACTTCTTTTAGAAAAGTCCAGGTCTCTCTTATTTAGAGAACTCAGAATTTTTGTCACACCCTCATTCAAACTTCAGAACAAGTTTACTATGTCTTTTGGGTTCCACTGCTCCAAGGCGTTTCTTGCAGAGTTGCTCTTTCTTTCTGGTCTGGCTCCTTTCCCATTGTTCCCCAAGTGTACCTGTCACAGCCACCTATCAGCAGTGTATATTCTGGGTTTTTTGTCTCTGGCATCTATCAGGTAGAATCATGCTGTCAGCCACAACTGACTGCAGTGCTTGCGGATGGAGTTGGCCCTGTACTGCTGGTGGGCAGGGCCTGGCTGGAGGATGGAGTGTCACCGCAGATTGTCCTCTGTCCTCCAGCTGTGGCCGGATGACATCGGATCCACGTCGGAGCCTGGCCTTTCCCGAGCACCTCGCCAGTCCCTTTTCTGCAGATGGGGGGTATGGTTGAGGGCACAGCAGCCTCTTGGAGTTGGCAGGGACAAGTGGGAGCATGTGCACAGTACATTGTGCTCTTCAGAGAAACAGCAGAAATGGTCTTTTGTGACACACAGCATTTAAAAAAACCACTTTGCTGGCAAATCTAAAGAGCCAGTGTGAAGTTTTTAATCTGCTGCCTCAGAATGTGGTTCTCTCTTTGCTTAACCCACTCTGTTCTTGAGGTAAAGCACCTCACTGCCCTTCCTTTCCTCAGTGTACCCTTGGAGGAGGACATGAGCACTGAGTTCATGCAGCGATTGGGCAGAACTTATGGTTTCAATATTTTAGAAAATTAAACTGCAGAGGTTTTTGTTAAACTTCTCATTTGAAGTTGAGAAAAAGTCTGGTAAGACTGTGCCACAGTGGAGACCAGAACTGGCCCCCTCTTGAGCGCTGTCTTGCTGACCATCTGGTCAGTGGAAAATGCTGTGGTGTTGTTGCAGAGTTGTTACTGGCTGCTGTTGAGTGACAGTGAATCCCTTTCCTCCCAGACGTTATAGGTGCCCACGCCCTGTTGTGTGCTGTGCTTGGCTCTGGTCTCACCCCAGAACCTTTGAACAGTGCCTTGGTCCCAGGTGTGGCCCGCGTGGCTCTTAACCATCTCCAGGCTTAGACTTGGGTGACACTTTCCTCTGAGCTCAATGCAGGTGCTGGGATTTGTGCTGAAAGCTCTGTGACATATGGCGTTCCCTTCTTAGAACACATCTGGAAGAAATGTGGGAAGATGTTATTACAGGAAACTTCCACAGCAGAAAAGGCTAGTAGGCTGCATTTATCCATTTGTGCTTTAATTTACCTAATTTTTGAATGTACAACACTGTATGTGCCCATATACCGTCATGGCCAGTGAAAAGGGGGTCTTGACTCTGTGCCTCTTCTACCTGTTCTGATCTAGGTCACCTCACAACTGGTTTGGGGGACACTTCAGCAGATATTTCTTAAGCCTTTGTAATCAGGTATGAATATATGTTTCTCTTTCAACTTTTGGCTCAGATGGTGT